GCAATAGTTGCTCAAGCAAATAATGATGTATGCAACATCAAATAGCATGTTGCACACTGACATGACTCCATCCAAATGTTGATCTAAGATGGAGTGGAAAATATAGAATTTGTAAGATCCAATGATAATTTGGTCGATCCTTCGATAAAGGCCTTACAAGGGAAGACAACAGTTGGATGTCAATAGTATGAGGCTAGAGTCCATAGAGTAACAATCAATAGTGTCAATCCAATCTAGGCCTATTGTTACCTTAAGAGGTTGATATTCAATGTGGTAAAAACAAGCCATTTGTATGGTTAGTTGGATCACTAGACATGGTTAAAAAATTTTAAGCACCAATTCTAGAATGATCCATCCATACAGTGAAAAGATCAAGTGACGACCTGCATGAGAAGAGGTTGAGCTAGGCTCATAATGATGTTTGTAACTGATACAGTTAGGTTGTTTAATATGCAAATACACCCTTGATAGTCTCACCTATATAAGTGTGTAAGTGAGATCACTTCCTATGAAATTGACCTCATATCTAGAGCCTCACAAAAATCAGGATATAGGCTCATGGCCCATAACAACCGACAATATAAAGAGACACCAAAGAGTGTATGTCGCTTGTGTATTGTGCTATTGCAATGTTAGATAAGATTCTTGGTTCACAACTATATGCTATTTTAGAGCATGATGTACTTCGTAGTGCATACACTAAGTGAAGGTTTAAATAGAAAGATATTGTCATGGTCTCCGAATGACATATGTTGCCTAATGTTTGCATATTCTTTTTAAATAGTGGAGGAAATTGCTATATTTTGCTTTTGGAAAATAATGTATGTTTGTAACATAGTGTTTTTGATAGCGTGCTTTGTCTTTGTAAAAAGAGTAGTAATAGGTGGGAAGACTTTTTTATATATGAGTTTATCCTCTTCACTTGTACTTTAAGAACTAAATGGAGAGAGTGCCTATACAAACATACAAAATGTGTGCATGTGCCTGTATGAGGGCTTAAGGGCGCTTAATGACACACTTCTTTTGCACAATCGCTTCAGTGCAAGAGCTGCCCTTACCCTGCATATGTATGGTGTTTAGGCTTGTGGCTCTGTTTCTTTTACCATAATAGGCAAAACCACTGGTAGGTTTAGGGGTGTACTAAAGAAACCCCACCAGTAGATTGGTGCACAGATCACATGGATTGGTGCACTTTGATGTTTTATACCTCATTGGTTCTGGTGGAGTGGCGCAGTATGGTGATTTGTGCCCCCTTGGTAAAGATACACTGACTCGAAGGGATTAGTGCGCTTTGGTACTTGTGCTCCACTGGTGAAGATATGTATATAGAGCATGATCGTTTTTTCTTGCCATAATAGGCAAAGCCATTGGTAGATATTAGGTGCGTTCCAAAGAAGCCCCACTAGTAGTTTGGTGTGCAGATCAGATTGATTGGTGCACTCCAATGTTTATGCCCCATTAGTTATAGAGGATTGGTGCACTATGGTGATTTGTGCCCCCTTAGTGAAGATATGCAGCTTTGGTGGATTAGCGCACTTTGGTACTTGTACTCTGCTGATGAAGATATGTACATAGAGCATGACGGTTAGTCTTCTTGCGCTGAAAGAGACACCGTGTGATAGTTAGCTATCCTATTGCATGTCAATTGCAATACATGTATCATTTTGATAGTAGAGATTTCAAGTGACTCAACTCTTCATTTAATGCTTACTTGAACAGTCACTAAAGTAATTAAAAATGTATTTTCTCTCTTTATAAATAGGGACTTGTCTCCTCCAATTTGGACACACAAAAGAAATTTTCTTGCTTTCAAAAGGCTTTTGTGAGAATTCCTCTTTCTAAAAAGATACAACTATGGTGATCTAGATCTAGTAATACTTGTACATTTGTATTGGCAAGGTAGTTTTCAATTTCTTCTGCTTCTATATATCCTAAGGACAAATATTCTAGGTGAAATTTAGATACATACTGATTATTATCAGTAATGAGCACATATTGTCTTGAAGTAACGATCTATCGTAGGATTAAATAGTTTGAAACTTATTTTGCTTGATTTGTTTCTTGTTTTTGCATGTTTCACCCCCAATTTCCAATATTGCTTTTCGATGTCAAAACTAGATCTATGTCTCTGTGAACCAGTAGGTTTGAACATTCTTTTCAGATGCCTGAGCTTTTCTTCTTTTTAGAAAACGAGAAGCTTTATGGTTCCAAATATGGAGATAATTAGCTAACTAGACGGTTTTTTTTTTTTTGGTAAAAAATTTCAAGAATTTGTGTCTTTTTTCCCCTTCAACCAATCGAAAGCTTGGAGGTTCCTTTATTTGAGTTTAACAATATATTTCTGTCTTTCTATCTCACAACCAAGCAAGAAGATTTGGGTTTTTTTTTTATTGTTTACCTTTCTCATTTTCCCCTGCAAGTGGGTAAAAGGTTGGTAGGCTTGATTTGGCCTCTTAAAGCATGTGATTTCATTGCCCAAAAGCGAGATTAACATAGGCAGACCACTCTCCCTTGTTTTAACTTCAAATGGTGGAAGGATAGAGCTTGCCTCTTTTTTTTCTAGAGAGAGAAATGTGAGGGCTTGCCGCTAGTTTTAGTAAAATGGTAGAGCTTAGTTTCATTTTCTTCCTTCCCTAACAATGTGGAGACACAATAAAATTAAGAAGCATGATTATATGATTCAATGTGAAAAAGTTTGTTAGTTTTTTTTTAGTGTTTTAAAATTAAATGATTTTCAATCCGGATCCTTGACATAGATGGGAATCATTTGGATCTAAACTGGCTCAAAAATGATATAGATTCATTTGGGACCAAACTAGCTCAAGAATGGTATAGATCTAATTAAATTCCCTCTAAAACTCCTCTTATATATATATGTATATATATATATATATATATATATATATGTATAAGAGAGAGAGAGAGAGAGAGAGATATATATATATATATATATATATGTATATGATCTTATAGGACCATCCCCCACTCATGTATAAGTCCCCAAAAGATCACCATTAAATTTGACACGGATTTATAGAAAAGTTAAGTCCTACAGCCATGTGAGTACTTTTCTATAGATCGATGCCAACTTTAATGATGATCCTTTGGGATCCTATACGTATGGGTGGAGGAGGGTCGTATGAGATCGTTACTCATATATATATTATTATTATTTTATATTTTTTTAGTTTATCTATTGTTTTTTAGGTCCATTCTAAATCTCCATAAATTTTCATTTTATTTTATTTTTAACATTTCTCTATATCTCGATTTAAATTGATCTAAACCCAATCTAGATTATGATCCAACCGTTTGACACCATCTGTCAGTCAACGATTTGCCCCACCGAGCCGCGTTTCAAAGCATAGGTCTTTTCATAAAAAGAATTTTAAAGTGGTTCTTAGTAATTCTTTTCAATGTGAAGATATTTTTTAGGAAAAATTATGTCCGTACCATATTTACAAGTGGTTCAAATTTTTGAAAAACTTACATAACTATCTATTTATTTATTAATTTTTTCTAATTTTTTTTCAAGATTCGATGTTGGAAACATCAAACTACTTTTTAATTTTATTATTTTATTACTTTTTGCAATGTAGGGAACGGTCTGAGGTCTAGATCCTTGGACCGCCCTATACTTTATATATTTTTTAAGGTATAAGGTCTGATGTTCAAGACACCGAGCCAAAATTTATAAAAAGAGCCAGTTGGTCCAATATTTCCTAATATAGGACCCTGCCCCCAATTGCTACAACCTACTTATGTTCTGGGTGGTCCGTTGGACCACAAACTTTTTGTTTTTTGTTTTTTTCTTTTATGTTTTCTTGATCCTATGAGCACACTCTAAGTTTTCCTCAATGGCTATCTATCTAAGCTCTTAGACTTCATGAAATTTTGCCAATTTTTAAACTTTTTTGTGGTACACTGAGGTCTTTGTGGCCGGGCGGATCACCTAAGACAAAGACTCGAAAAAGGCTTGGAAAGCTTCATGGGAGAGTCCATCCGATGTTCAAGATATCACACCAACCTACTTTCTTGTCTTTTTGAAAACTTTGGTTCGATGCGTTCAACATGGACCGATGTGTTTTAAAAATCTTTTTATAGGGAATTGGACCTGTCTTTGCACTTCAAAATTCTTTTTTAAAAATAAGAAGAATGTTTCGAACATCAAACTTTTGGTGTAAAAAGCCAAAAAAAAAAAAAAAACCATGTGTGGGGGTGTTTTTAAAAAATAAAAAAATATACAGAAACTATTTATTTTTGGTACAAAAATGCAACAATCATACTTGCCTATTAAATTTCAAATCAAATGGTCTTAAGAGTGTCACTCTTTACACTCAAAGTTCACAAAAAAATTCTGAAACTTCATGACACAAATCAAACCACCCAATTTGACATCTAATGGCTAGGAGTAATTGTGATATCTTTATAATTAAGATAAATAGTCTTATAAATCTTAAAAAACAACATCGATTCAATGTCCCAAATATGAAACCGGTGCACTTTTACGTCATATTTTCATAAAATTGTATTACTATATAGTTATCGTATTTTAAGATGGTACGAAAGTGGTGTTTCTTTTTTTTTTTTTAAGGAAAATGAGTTTCACTTTATAACTCACCGAAAATTGCATTTCTAACATTAGAAAACCTTCATCTCGGCTTTTATCCTCATGATTGTGAAAAAATTAGGGTTTTAAGCTTTAAAAATAGTGTATATCGTGAGATCAATAATTTTTTAAATTTAAATCTTATAATTAATATTGAAAATTGATTTTAAAACCATCATGAAAATTTTCAATATCCAAAGTGATTATTATTTATCTTTTGCAACTATTTATAAAGAGACCATTTATTGTCTCCTAAATTTCAAAATTGGTGCCTGCAAGAGTATCATTAAATTGACACAAATTTTTTTAAAAATTCTTAAACTTAGTAACTCACCGAGTACTCCAATTTGACATGCAATAATTTGACATGTAATGAGTCAGAATGATTGTTTGTGCTGTTGGAGCGTATTTGATAACAGAAAGTTGGTAACCAAAAGTTGGAACTTTATTTTTCTTCTTTTGTGATTGATCCGACCTTTGTTCATGACAAAAGTTTCGTCGAAAATCATGGACGATGAAACGGAAAGTTTTCCCGGTGAAAACCCGTCATTTTCCTGCTTGCTGCTCTCCTCCGCTTGCGCACAGGTTCTCTATCTCGCCTCTCCCTCTCTCTCTTATGTTCCCTCTCATCCCCGACCTTCTGTCTCTCTTTAAGGCTCTCACTCCTCTGCATTCTCTCTCTCTAGAGCTCTCACACCCCTGCTTTCTCTCTGCAAATCCCTCTACCCCAATTTGGGTTGTAGGGCTCTCACACCTCGACACTCTCTCTCTATAGCTCTGACACTCCTTTACTCTCTCTCTGTGTACTAGGGCTCTCATACATCTGTACTCTCTCTCTAGAGCTCTCACACCCCGGCTCTCTCTCGTCAAATCCCTCTACCCCAATTTGGGTTGTAGCCCTATCAATTTTTTCTTGTTGGGATAAATTATTTGTAAATGATGGATTTTTGGTTTCCTTTTCACCTGTTTTGGTTTTTCTCTCTCTTATGTGGTCTTGTTTCTCTGTGGTTTTCTGACATGCTCTCTTTGTGATGCTTTGATTTTTCATGTAGCATTAGTAGCTCTGTAAATATCTGCTTTAAGCTTTTCTTATTTTTCATTTCTCGTTTATTCATGCAAGATCTCTTATCAAGTGCCCTACAAACCTAGAACAGTATCTGAACGTTGATATTATTGATCGAAAGTGATGGACCCTATAGTAATCAATGAGACTTTAGAATTTAGATCAATGGATTGATTGTTTATGACTAGTTGATGTTCCTTCTTAGGAATGCACATTATTCCTTAGTGAAGTAGCTATTCCTTCTTAGGAATGCAAGTTGGAGCATTATTGTGGTGTCAAAATTGCTATTGTTAGAAGGCACTGCTTTCTCTTCCAGCAGGTTAGCAGTGGAATTCAGAACTTGGGGATAAGAACCAAGTTGCTTTGAACCCATATTTGTTCACAGGATTGCCTTGTGAATACCAACAGGAACTGGAAATCTTGCCAACCAGGTCAAGGTCTTGGCAGCACAAGCTTAATAGAGTTGAGGTTATGAATTTAAATCCATTTTAGGGTATTATTTTGTTTCTTTTGTTGTGGTTTTTACTATTTCATTGGATTGACTTGTATTTGGTTTAAGCAATGAATCTGGTTTGGCTATTTTGATTGGCTTGGAGTTCTTTGCATGATTGTTTAGTGGAATTGGCTTCTCTTTGGGTGTTGCCTTTCTTTAGATTTTTTATTTGTAGATGAAATCTTAGTTATTCTTTTCATTATTTCCTTCTTGAATTCACTGGAGCCATTTGGTCTTGCTTTTCATGGCAGAATTGATGTGTAGTTCACATAAAACAAGAGTATGCAAAGTGATCTGGTTTAGCTATTTTGATTGGCTTGGAATTATTTGCATGATTGTTTAGTGGAATTGGCTCCTCTTTGGGTGTTGCCTTTCTTTAGATTTTTATTTGTACATGAAATCGTAGTTATTCTTTTCATTATTTCCTTCTTGAATTCACTGGAGCCATTTGGTCTTGCTTTTCATGGCAGAATTGATGTGTGGTTCACATAAAACAAGAGTATGCAAAGTGATTGGTTAAATTCATCTCTAAGTCATTTACTTCATTGGATACATAGAAGTTCTATTGGGTACTTCTTTTCTTCTTTATGTTTTATTGTTGTTACTTTTCTTATTAAATATTGTTAATTATTTGTATGATGAAAGTTTCAACTGCTATTTCAAGGATAAATAACCATGGAGCCAATTGACTGAGAGCCGAATGGGCCTCCATGACCTTTTTGTCTTCTCAATGGGAAAACATCCCCTGACTTCATCTCCTAAAAAGCATCCGCAAAGTTCACAATCTTGTTGTTGTTAATCAGTATAAAGACCATTTTCAGTACATCTTATGGCTTGATTGTTCTGTCATTGTATACAAGGTCCTCTTTACCCTTGTGTTTTTGCTATCAAGTTCTTCTTTGCTTGTGATGGTATGCGAATGTGAGATCATAGTAGCATGCGTTGTAGATCATTGTGGAAGAAGACTTGCTTAGTGATGTACGGTCTGCTATTAGGGCCTCCCAAAATGTTCTAGAATATAGATTGTTGCTCTATAGAAATTTCTTTGCAGCATGTTCACTGGGAAACAAAGAAGCAGGTTGATGTGTTGGCCCTAATTGTGATCTCTAGTATGAGTTTGCTTGTGTTTCTCTCCCTTTCTTGTAGTGTTCGTTATATATCTTGAGTCTTCTATATAATTCCCTTACCCAACAATAAAAGCAAATCCTTTAAAAAAATTTAATGCAAGAATTATATGCCAGTGTCAAGATTCCTCTTCGATGTAAATTCTATTGATGATATGGTAACTTACAGTCTGACTGAGGGTGAGGCTCTTGATAGAGCAAAATGGCAGAACATAATTTGTGTAGCAGACCCCAAATAGTTAGGATAAGGCTTCAATGATGATGATGATGAATAAAATATTTTAAAGAAATTTAAGCGTTATAAAAAATTAAGAAAATCGAATCATTGTATAATATTTTAATTTTTTGCATTTGGAATGTAGTTATGACTTTATGTAGCATAATAACAATCAAGGATCCTTCTTTGGCAAATAAAGATAAGTATTAAATTGAAGCTCAAGGTAATTTGTGACCTGTTAAAGAGCCCAAAAGGGGCAATATTGTCTACCACCATTGCAACTAAAAAGCAATAAAGCATTTCCTCTTTTTTTATTCTCACATTTGTCTCGTAACATCAATAGTGGATGAAACTTGGATAATCTAACCAGAAAACAACAAGATGGTACTCAAATGATTATACATCAATTATGTAACCATTGGAACATATGACCAGGTTTTACATTTCATTCTTCTTTTCATTGTTGTATTATCCTTGTATAAACCTGACATCTCTATTTTTTACTGAGTCCCCGCTTGTGGGTGTCTGCGGAACTGTGTTCTTGTAATTACTTACTTCTTTAATACAAGTTAACCTTCTCTCAACAAAAAATATTTCCTACGCTATCCTATATTTTTCTAACAAATACTGCCTATAGAATTGTTTCAAGGGTAGGAAGGGGCGTATTGAATTTGATGAAAGAAGAAAACGAATTGGCTTCTCAAACAAATAATTTTTTTGAGTCCCTGATAAAAAAGAGAAAGTATAAGATGAGACAATTTACTTTTGTACAAAGAGGTCGTACTTATTCCTAGCCATCAAATGTGAAATCAAGTGGCTAAGGGTGTGCCACTGATTATGCATAATGCGCAATATATTTCTCGGACTTTGTGCATTGTTCTTAGTACCCAAAGTTTAAATCTAATAGCTAGAGATGATATGACCTTCTTGAACCAAAAATAGATGGTCTCATAGAATACATTCCCGATAAGAAAAGTTACTGGCAGCTCATAGAGAGGCCAACAGAGTGCTTTTGAGATTGTTAAGGAAAGCAAAATATTCTATGCTACACATTGAAGGGGTGCTCAGAGTTCCATGGAAACCCACTAACTAAGGACTTGATGAGATAGATATGTATAATCAGCGACCAACAGGTTATTCATTTCAACAATATCAATCTGCAGATTTGCAGTTTGCAGAACTCTAAGTATTGTCTTTTACTTGATTGGTAAGCTTTAGTCTATACCCAAAGCAAAGTTCAGGTTTCATAATAATGTACATTACTCAGGTAGCCTAGCCAGTCCACCTTTGTGTCCTACATATTTTAGGAGCTTCCTTTTTAGCAAGTTGTTTGCAAAGATAAACATCCAATCTTGTCTCTATAGGAGGGGATCATCTTGCTAAGAAGTTTGAGTGTCATTAACTTCTATTTTTCCCATATTAGTAGAGATCTCTAATACAATGGGATGCCACTTAAGAACCTTGTTTTAGGGGTACTACATGAAGTAGGATTATGGGATACACAAATTGTACAATTCAAGAAAGCCATAGAGAATGCCATCATACGGATCAAGAACAATTTGTTGTTATAAAGAGCCATAGACATAAGCCTTACTAAGTATTTTAGACTCCTTTATGCAATTATATTAATGTTTTGGAGACATATATAAATAGACATCTTCAACTAATACCATTGAAAATGGCACATAAAAAATAAGTTGGTATTACGGTTTCATTCATCGGATGTAACATGTTGGTCCTTTAGGTTTTCAGGATGCAAAGTATCAGCAACTATGTCATTCACAAAGGAGTCCACACCTACATCTAGATATGTTTTAACATTAAAAAATAGGAGTACATTCAGAAATGTAATGAACAATGTAACCAGATCATCATCATTATCAAAGCTTTTTTCCAACTAATTGGGATTAGCTACACAAATCTTGGTTCGTCATTCTACTCTATTAAGGGTCATACTCTCAGTGACACCATAAGTCCCCATATCTTTTCTCACTACCAACCATGACCTTTTGGGCGTATCACTTGCCCTTTATGAGCCTCTGCTTGAACTAACTCACACCTCCTAACTGGTGGTGTATTGGGTCTGCCCCACATATGGCCAGCCTAGCTAAGTCTACTCTCTCTCATTTTATCGCTTATTGGTATCATACCTAATTTTTCCCGAATGTGTTCATTTCGAATTATATCCCTTGTTTCATCACTCATCCATCTCAACATCCTCATCTTCGCCACACTAATTCTATGGGAAATAGTGTAACAGGATAATCTCTTTAAATATGATTGTGTTTTCCTTTGCACTTAACAAGATGTACATGATGAATAAATGAGAAGAAAAAAGAATATATGAAGCATGGATGGTGAGAGTGTACAAAAAGAAACACAACTTCCAAGCTTGACAGGTGAGAGTTTTAATATCATTGCGGGAAAAATGCATAACAACTCGAGACCCTGTATCTGATATCATACAAGAAAAGACTGAGATATCTTTCTACCACGAAACTAGAAATCAATTCAAAACTCTTTGTCAAATTGACAGAGGCCAAAATCGTCCAAGGTTAAAAGGTGAGAGATTTGACATTTTTTATGTTGAAGCCACAGATCATTTCAAGACCCCGTGATTGATTTTCGTCATAATGAATACATAAAGGTTTCGGAGTAAATTGTTAACTAAACCAGAATCCACAAATTCTTAGTGCCCAATTCCATACTAAGTAACATAACTAAAATCAGGAACAGACTGAGCATATCCTACTGAACAATCATTTGAATCTCTCTCTCTCTCTCTCTCTCTCTCTCTCTCTCTCTCCCAATGAACACTTGGGATGAAGCCCGTTTTCTACTTGTAGTAGTTTCCAATTAATTGAACCAGTCATGTAAGCCATTGTGCTATATTCTGGATGCTAGTCTTCAACTTTCTTGAGACAAATAGCCTATTAGAAGTGATTTTGATGTCAATCGGTTGGAATGTACAAATAATGGATCATGGTTGTCATCTTTTTTTGTTGAGTAGGACAGCTTGGTATGCACTAGAGCAGGGTTCAGCGCAATATCTCTGTCCTTTAAATTGGTTGTCTAATCAATTTGGCCGATGGCCTGGTTGATGTCTTAATAGAAGTCTTAATAGCCCTGTTGCACAGCACATGGTACAGCCTTTGTCTCCGGGAAACCTTCAAAGCAAAAGCTCATAACATCTCATGGTGGAATGCAATATTTCACTTGTGGATGACCAAAATGATAGTGTATCTAAAGGTCATACAGGATACCTGATCATATGAATGAGGACCATGCACTTTATAGAGGAATTTAGAAGTAGCCATTGTTGTTTCCGGGTTGCACTTAATGGAAATGGACACTATGAAGAAGCTGCCTAAGAACTGACAATAGTCAGTTGGATTTGCGCCAGGATAACCTTCTAATAAGATATCTTTTGTTTATCAAGGTTACATGTTTGCTCCGTGAATGCATGGTTAAGTACACATAGGGCGTCATTGATCAGATTCACTTCATAGACAATAAGAACATGGATATCCTGTTACAAATAGACATCTATTTTGGGAAGTAATTCTCAATAGCTTGTGATAGCACGATTGCCCTTAATATTATCACTTAGCAAAGTGGACCCTTTATGCTTATACAATTATAAACTATGCTCTTATCTACAAAATGAAATATTTTCCTTGTAGACTGCACATATTTATCAGCACATGCTGCTTTTCAATGTATATAGCTCTTTCTCACTGCATCTTCAGTGTGTTTGAATATTTTATGACTACTTTTGGTTTACATTTCTTTTTCGATTACTTTAAAAGATACAAACTGCTGTTGTTTATGTTCTTATTTGATTGAGATTTTGGTTACGCTTTATGGTTCCTTCATTTTCTTAAGTCCTATTTGTGAATTGGTTTAATATGGTTATCAGTAAATTGGTTGAACTATCATTTTCAGGTTTTCTTGATTGCATATTTGGTGCCTCGTTAGGATGTCACATTTGCAATGCAAGCATGAAGCAGCCAATGGATTTCTTGTGGGATGTCTTATTTCCAGTTAAGGATTATCACCAGGCTTTCACATTGTGTTTCCAGAAGGTTTCATTCCCCAACTTATTGCATATCACTGCAATTCAACACCCTTTTAGCTCACAAACCATGCACAGCATCAGAGGAGAGCCTAGAAAAGGCTTTAGAAATTTTGGATTTAATTTCTCCACAACCTGGAAAAGAAGGCTCTGGGAACAAGCATATGCGCCTCATAGAGGGATGCATGGAAGCACTCATTAAAACAGACAGTAGACAGGAAAAAAAAGGAAGACTGAGAAAACCAAAAGAGCCCACTGCAATTTCTGATAAGATCTCCAAGAGAAGTGTAGCTTTTTCAGGTTATGAGAAGGATGGCTATTATAAAAATAACTCTGATGCGAACGATGCTCTCACCTTCTTCTTTCACATGCGCAAACAAGGAATGAAACCAGATGAGCAAACTTTGTCCAGTGTTCTTAGTGCCTGTGGAAGTGAAAGAGTCTACAATCTGGGTACCCAACTTCATGCAATATCTGTTCATTCTGGCCTGGACCTGTGCATCTCTATTGGGACCTCGTTGGTCAATTTTTACAGCAAATGTGGAGATTTAGATGAAGCGTATCAGGTGTTTGAGGGCCTTCTTGAGAAAAATGTTGTGTCCTGGACTGCACTGATTGCAGGTTTTGCTCAGCAAGGGCAAGGCGAGAGGTGTTGGGACCTCTTCCTTCGTATGCAATTTTCTCTCTCTAGACCCAATGATTTCACCTATGCAAGCCTCCTGAAAGCATGCACAGGCATCGGCTCTTTAGCTGAGGGTAGGGTCATCCATTGTCATACCATAAAAGGTGGCTTCCATTCCTATACCCATGTGGCCAATGCTCTTATTACAATGTATGCCAAGTGTGGGAGCATCGAGGAAGCAAACTACATGTTTGAAGAGACAGAAATTCGCGATGTAATATCATGGAATGCCATGATCATGGCCTATGCTCATCATGGCCTTGGGGACGAGGCCTTATACTTGTTTAGAGAGATGGAGAAGAGAGCCATAGAACCTGATGCCATAACCTTTCTTGGTGTTCTCTCTTCGTGCAGACATGTGGGGCTTGTGGAGGAAGGATGGCATTACTTCTATTCAATGGTTTGTGAGCACAAGATTGATCCTGGACTGGATCATTATGCATGCATGGTTGATCTTTTAGGTCGAGCTGGGCTCCTTGATCAAGCCAAAGAGTTCATAAGGAGTATGCCTATCTTGCCAAATGCTGTTGTGTGGGGGTCACTTCTCTCTTCCTGTAGGCTGCATGGAGATGCTCGGATTGGGAGCTGGGCAGCTCAACATAGGCTTTTGTTGGAACCTGGTTGTTCTGCAACTTATGTGCAGTTGGCTAATCTGTATGCTGCTTCTGGATCTTGGGAAGAAGCAGCTAGAGTGAGAAAATTGATGAGAGAGAAAGGATTGAGAACAAGTCCGGGGTATAGCTGGATTGAGGTTAAGAACAGGGTTTACAAGTTTAAAGCAGAGGACAGGTCAAACCCAAGGTGGGTTGAGATGATTTGGGTGGTGGATAGTTTGGTGAAACAGATGAAAAGCCTGGGTTATGTGCCTGACACAAGCTTGGGCTTGGATCTGAATGAAGAGGGTGGTTTCATTGATTGTTATTAGTTGAATATTGAGATATGATTCTTTACTTCTCGGTATTCATTTTGGTAAGCATTGATTCATGTTGTACCGTATCGCAAGTTTAAGCCTAATCCATCTTGTATCAGATCACAAATTTACATGTTTGTTTTCTGTAATTACATGTGTGCGTGCATTGTACTGATATAGCTTTAATGTAATATTGCAAGAACAAACTACACAGACAAACAAATCCTCTAAATGCTTAATTTTTTCTAAGAAACATGCGCTGGTTTGGTTTTATTTATATGGTATTTGAAAACATCTGGTTTGTATTGTTACTGTCATATTTTACCCTTTTGTGTAAAGATGAACTACTGCTCGTCATCTTTTGGATGTTAAAACATAGTGAATGGGTTATGGTGCAATACAATAGTTGCCAATTTTATGGGTCTACTATGGAAAGAATCAAAGTTTGCTAGCATAACTTTTATGGTGTAATATTTGCATAATACGAAGCTAGAGCGGCTATGCACCTCAGCAAGCATTCTTTTGGCTCTGCCTCTAATCACTCATTCTTAGCTTAACGACTTCACTCTTCAGTCGTTCTTAGCTTAACGACTTCACTCTTCAGTCGTTCTTAGCTTAACGACTTCACTCTTCACTCGCTTGTTGGCAACATCAAAAAAGCCCTTGTTGAAGGCTTCAGAGAACTTGGTTGAAGTTTGTGAAGTATAGCCACTTTGAATTGAAAAAGTATGCTTGCGGGGGATTTTAGATACCTTGCTACAAAATAGGCGACGTAAAGCTGGATCACCACTTAAGATGAAAGCAACATGGATATGGCTTAATTACTTTTCCCGAAGAGCATACCAATGAGAGGCAAATGACTTTTTACTTGGAGCAGTGAACTCCTAGGGTCCTTTTACTCCCAAAAAGCCTCCATCCTCCAGTCTAATCATATTTCAATAAAATAAAATGCTCATAGAAGTCCAAAAAATTATTTTTAATTATCCAAAAATCAATCAAATATATTAAAACATATTCAAAGAGATTTGATAGGAATATGATCCGTAGAGTTATATTTACAACAAATATATTAAGAATTCCATCCGTTTTAGAGGTTGTCTCATTGCATCTTCTCAAACTAGCCTGATGGTTTCCATGACCTACAATTTCTCGTAGGGGTTCATGGACTATCCAAGTCAGCCAATAAGCGAAAGAAATACGATTCTAGTCCATAGATTATAGGTCTCTCCCTAAGGATAAGTCCATGTTCCCTTTCAACACTATACTTTATGGGTCCTTCCAATACAATCCAATGTTGCAGGGAATCATCTATTCCGAACATATGCATGTCATGTACTCTTATCCAAAAAGGCCGCTTTCTAGAAGGTTATTTAGTGTGCATGCTATGTGATGGTAGTGATGAGGATTTAGACATTTGTCCGCTTCGGCTATCTATCACACACATGGGTCTCATCGAGTTCCTTGGCTTAACTCCTGAGCACAACTCCAATCTCATTAAGGGATAACCCCACGTCAAAACCTTCATCAGTTGTAATACACAATGTCCATGACTACGGGTTTTAAAAATCACCTATGAGTCATAGCCAGTCAAAGCTCTGATGAGTCATGACACAAAGAGTACCTCATAGTCCAAAGTGGATCACACTTCCACTGAAGCCAACATTTCACAATATTATAAGCCTTCTCATAGCCTAGCTTAACTACAAGATGAATAACCTGGCATAGTTTGTTTTGCTAAGACCTTAACTATAATCTCTCTCTCTCTCTCTTGGAAATCTATCTGCCCTATCAATATAGGTTAGCAAATCACAAACCACGTTCTATTCAATGGAAACCCTCAAGTTTGAAGCTGATGCCTGAGACAACTCGACCATTAGTTGCGAAAGAAAACTCGGGAAATGGATCAAAGACGAGCAATAAACGTTGGGAGTCTGTACACCCATCAAAAGTAAGAAGGGTGTACGCCCGATGGTAAAAATTAAATTAGATGAAAGAAAAAAGTAAAAAAATTTATTAAAAATAATAATTGGGTGCCCATCACCCCTATTTTTCACCAAAAAATTTAAATTTATTTAAAAAAAAAAACATAAAAACTCTATTAGGCTATTTATCTTATGGGATTATTTCATTATATGATTAATAGTTAGTTAATTAGGATTAAAAAATTAGTAATAGTTCATAGGGTATTAAAAAAAGTAAAACAATAATACTACTTCTAGACTCTTGAATATTATAAAAAATTAATTTAGAGAATATTTTAACAGAGAAAAATAACACTAACTCATACCACTTTGGAATTTATTTCAAGTTGCTTTATCAATTATCCTACATTATAAATATGATTTTTTTAATTTATTAATAACCAAATATTATATATTATTTATTAATTTATTTATATAATTTTGTAATGTAGTATTTTTTTTGTAATTGCAAATAAGATTTTTTAAATTAGATCATATTATAAGACATTCTATATTTTTATTTGTATAGTAAAATAATTATAAAATATAAAGTTATAAACCAAAAATTTCAATTTCAATATATATTATTATAGCTAGTTAGGTTGTTATAATTTTGGATGAGTAAAACGAATTAATAAATGTTTAATACTTTGATGTGATACTAATTTATGTGAGAAATTAATTTTTTTAATCTTATAATATGGAAGTGTTTGTAACTAATTATCATATATTGCAAGTATGAATTTATTTATTTATTTTAAAATTTTATTAAAATATTCTTTTAAATTTAAATTTCTAAATTCTATGTTTCTATTCACACTAATTATTATATATTAGATTTATTTATTTGTGAGGGTCATACCCTTGTTTTTTGAATCATGTTTATTACAATATTGTAATTAATAATTATATTAATTACAATAATAACCAAGTCTTATGTTTTATTTATTAATTTATTTATTTAATTATATAGACATCCAGATAGAAAAACAACATCCCAGTAATCATCTATTTTTACAAAGTAATAAAAATACATAATGCACCCCTCCTAAATTCTTGTAGAAATTAAAATAACACAATTTTTAGAGGTTTTTAGTGATTTTTTTAAAAATTTTGGGGACAAAAATTGTCGATTCCGCTCGATTCCCAATCCGAAATGCCGATTCACCGGTATGGATGGGTTTTTTAGGTGCCCGATTCGGGCACCGATCTGTTTTTTAAACCACTGGTGTACACTGATCAAGAGTAAGATGGGTATACACCCGATGATAAAAATTAAATTAGACAATAAAAAAAGAAAAAATTATTAAAAATAATAATTGGGTGTTCATCACCCCTATCTTTCACTAAAAAAATTTAAATTTACTTACCTAAAAAAAACATAAAAACTCTATTAGGCTATTATCTTATGAGATTATTTCATTATATGATTAATAATTAATTAATTAGTTAATTGGGATTAAAAAATTAGTACTAGCTCATAGGATATTAAAAAAAAAGCAAAAAAATAATACTAATTCTAGTCTATTGAATATTAAAAAAAAAACAATTTCGAGGATATTTTAAGAGAGGAAAATAACACTAACTCATACCACTTTAGAATTTATTTCAAGTTGCTTTATCAATTATCCCACATTGTAAATATGAATTTTTATAATTGATTAATAATCAAATATTATATATTATTTATTAATTAATTTATATTATAAATTTTATAATGTATTATTTTTTCTTATAATTGTAAATAAGATTTTTTTAAATTAGATGATATTATAAGATATTTTATATTTTTATTTGTATAGTAAAATAATTATAAAATATAAAGTTATAAACCAACAACTTCAATTTCAATACATACTATTATAGTTAGTTAGGTTGTAATAATTTTGGATAATTAAAATGAGCTAATAAATGTTTGATACTTTGATGTGATACTAATTTATGCAGGAAATTAATTTTTTTAATCTTATAATAGGGAAGTGTTTGTAACTAGTTACCTCACATTGCAAGTATGAATTTATTTATTTATTTATTTATTTTTTAATTTTATAAAAATATTATTGTAAATTTATATTTCTAAATTCTATATTTCTATCCACATTAATTATTATATATTAGATTTATTTATTTGTGAGGGTCATACCCTTGTTTTTCGTATCACGTTTATTATAATATTTTAATTAATTATTATACTAATTATAATGAGAACCAAGTCTTATATTTCATTTATTAATTTATTTATTTTAATTATATAGACATCCATATAGAAAAACAGCGTCTCAGTAATCACCTATTCTTACAAAGTAATGAAAATAAGTAATGCACCATTCCTAAATTCTTGTAGAAATTAATATAACGCCATTTTTAGAGAATTTCAGTGATTTTTTAAAGATTTTTTGGAAAAAAAATTGTAAATTTCGCTCGATTCCCGATCCGAAACGCCGATTCATCGGTCCGGATGGGTTTTTGGGGTGGCCAATCTGGGGCACCGATCTGTTTTCTAAACCACTAGTGTACACCCATCAAGAGTAAGAAGGGTGTAAACCCGATGGTAAAAATTAAATTAAATGATAAAAAAAAGAAATTATTAAAAATAATAATTGGGTGCCCATCACCCCTATCTTTCACCCAAAAAATTTAAATTTACGTACCCAAAAATAACATAAAAACTCTATTAGGCTATTTTCTCATGGGATTATTTCATTATATGACTAATAATTAATTAATTAATTAGTTAAGATTAAAAAATTAGTACTAGCTCAGAAGATATTGAAAAAAACAAAAAAATAATACTAATTCTAGTCAATTTAATATTAAAAAAAAAAATTTTAGAAGATATTTTAAGAGTGAAAAATAACACTAATTCATACCACTTTAGAATTTATTTTAACTTGCTTTATCAGTTATCCCACATTGCAAATATGATTTTTTTTTTAATTTATTTAAAACTAAATATTATATATTATTTATTAAATTATTTATATTATAAATTTTGTAATGCATTATTTTTTGTTATAATTGTAAATAAGATTTTTTAAATTAGATGACATTATAAGAAATTTTATATTTTTATTTGTATAGTAAAATAATTATAAAATATAAAGATATAAACCAACGACTTCAATTTCAATATATATTATTATAGTTAATTAGGTGTTAATAATTTTTGAGGAGTAAAACAAATTAATAAATGTTTGATATATTGATGTGATACTAATTTATGCGGGAAATTAATTTTTTTAATCTTATAATATGCAAGTGTTTGTAACTAGTAACGTTATTTTGTTGTATAAATTTATTTATTTATTTTTCGATT